TGGGTGCGTTGGTGGCATGGCTTCAGGCCGTGGAGGCGCCTATACGTGCGGCGGCAGCGAGATGCTCGGTGGACTGGCCGGCGGTGCTTCCGTGCGACGGCCACGGTTCAGGTGGTAGCGGCAGCGCGGAGGCAGCAGGAGGTCAGCGGCATGGAGGCCGCGAGTGTGCAGTGGCTGTGTGACGACGGTGCGGCGGCGCTATGGTGAGGTAGCGCGGCGTTGCGGCGGTGGTACAGCAGGAGCGTGGCAGTGCGGCGGTGGTACAGCGGGAGCGCGACGGCTCGGTGTGCAGCGGGCGCGGCAGTGGCTACGGCCGCCCTATGGGTGGCTGCGGCGGCCCTGTGCGCGCAGAGGCAACGGTGGTCCGGCGGCCCTATGCGCATGGAGGCGGCTAAGCTGTGGCAGTTCGCCGGTGAAGCCATGGTGGCGTGGCCAGCCGAGGCTTGGTTGGGTGTGCTCCAGCGGCGCTGTGGTGGCGCTGGCTGGCGGCGGCCTGGCGATGGCACGCCCATGGTGCCATGGTGGCGCGGCTGGCGGTGTCAGGTCGGGATGGAGGCTGCAGATCCGCTGCCTCCAAGGATGGATCCGGCGGTCCTTGGGCCGGATATGCTCTGGTGGAGATCGCCGGCGGTGGCGATGCGTGGCGGGAGGTCATCGTCGGTGCGGCAGCGGCGGGAGACTGTGGGCGATATGGCGAAGACGGTGTGGGTGACGCCGATGGTTGCGTGGAGGCCGGCGCGGGTGGCAGGAGCAAACAGCGTGCGCGGCATGGAGGCTCCCGGATGGCGAGTGCCGCACGGAGGCAGCGAGGAGGCGGAAGCGGTGGACAGCCGGCGACGGCGGATATGTTGTGGTGGAAGAAGCGGGTGGTGGCCAAGTCATGGATTCGAGGTGCAAGTGTTAGCTATGGAGGAAGGCAGCAGAGGGCATTCACGTAGTGATTCGGGGCTTGGCTTCTATGTGGCCGTTGTTGGGCGACAGTTTCGGGACGGGGTGCCACGAGTGTCCACGAAGTTGGCGAGGAGGCCGGCGCGGGAGTTGGGCCAGTAGAAGTGCAGTGTCTGATAATCTGTGTGATGTCTGATGGCAGCTAGAGGCCCTGCTTACTTTTCTACCATCTTGATGAAGCAGCTTTTGTTGCTAAATGCTACGATGAGGGCAAATCTTGGGGGTGGCGGTCGGCTGGGCGATGACCAGAGGCAGTTGCTCGTGTTCTCGACTTGGCGGCTTGCAGCAGACCGCAGTGGCTAGCCTTGCATGGCAAGGGTTAGTCTAGTGCGGGTCAGCATCGACAGATGCCGCAAGCGGAGACGATGGCATGACGGCTACTTGGCTTGCAGCGGATCATGGCGGTTAGCACTGCATGGCAGCGGCTGACTCGGTGTGGTACATCGTCGGTAACGACGGCGCAGGCGGTGACAATGGTGTGTCTTCATGTCACGTGTTATCCTTTGTTGCTGTTGTATCGTGGTGGCCAGTTTGGTTTGGCGATGTTGCACGGCGCGTGTTGAGGTCTCAATCCGACCGGCCGCTGTCGATAGTTGAGCTAGTTGCTTTTTGTTGAGTTTTGTTGTTGTCGTTAGTTGTTGTTTTCGTAGCTCCGTGTATTGTCCAGTTTGAGTTATTCTTCTTTTTAATATAATCGGCAGTTCTCCTGCCTAATTCGTTTCGAAAAAAAAAAGATGCATGCATGCGTGGATGCGCCCGCACCTACACCTACTGGAGTGACTTCTTGGCTCATCTTGGCGAGATTGGGTTGAGTAAGGTGTGCGCAATGCAAGAACTAACTTGACGACGACGGGCAGCTGTAGCTAAGGAGCAGCTAGCAAGAATATGGCATCATCAGAGAATATAAGAACTTGGATGTATCACCCACGCACACTTAATTAACCTGCAGGAGCCAAAAACCAAGCCGCCAAAAAGTACGATGATGTCCATGTCAAACCACGAACTCCCGGCCGGATCCATCGACGCGTTTAGACGGCAGGCACGATGTTGACACCCTTCTTTATTTGCTTTGAAAATTGATATGATGAAAGCTTATGATAGGGTGGAATGGGCTTACTTACGTGGTGTATTACAGAAGCTGGGTTTTCATGATTCATGGATATCTACTGTTATGCGGTGTGTTTCCTCGGTGTGCTACTGGCTACTGCTATGCCATAAGGGTTAATGGTGAATTAACTCAAACCTTTTATCCAACAAGAAGCATTCGGCAAGGAGATCCAATCAGTTCAGATTTTTTTCCTCCTGTGCGCTGAAGGATTGCCACGCTTATTAAAAAAGAAGAAGGCTCTTTGAAAGGGTTAAGGAATGGAATTTAGGGCCATCAATATCCCATCTTTTATTTGCATATGACAGCATCTTCTTTACAAGGGGGGATAAACGAAGTGTCTCAACACTGAAATCACTACTCCAGTGTTATAGTGAAGGGTCTGGACAGAGAGTCCATTTGCAAAAGTCATCCATCTTCTTTGGGAACCGATGTCCTGATGATTTTTTTTTAAAAAAAAAAAGAGTAATGAATGAGCTGAACATCTACAATGAGGCACTGCAATCTACTTATTTTAGTTAGGTATATGCTGACTTGTATTAAAAGATAAAACATTAGCACCTTTTGTTTTTCTGCTAGAAAGAATGTGGAAAAGAGTTTATGGATGGAGTGATAAATCGTTATCTAAAGCCGGGAAAGAAGTTTTGCTTAAATCTGTTGTCCAAGCTGCTATCCCTATATATATCATGAGCTGCTTCTAGATACCAGTTGGCATTTGTGATAAAATGAGATCAATTGTCTCTAATTATTGGTGGGGCATGAGAATGGAAACAAGAAATTGCATTGGCGCTCTTGGGAATGGCTGACTGCACCAAAAGCATTGGGAGGGATGGGCTTTAGGGATATGGAACAATATTTAATTAAGCACTTCTAGCAAAGCAATGTTGGCTATTATTTAGTGTGCCTGACCCTTTTATGTGCTAGAGTGCTTAAAAATAGATACTTTCCTGATTCCTCCTTCTGGGAGGCAGCAGGTTGCACTCGTAATGCCTCATACACTTGGAGAAGCTTGAATTTTGGGAAGAAACTTTTGATGAATGGAATTGTATGGAGAGTTGGCAATGGTAACACAATACCTCCTTTATCTGGTGTTCATTGGATACCACGTGTTTTACAACAATTTGCCCAACCAATCATACCACTACCAGGAGATCTTAAGGTGGATTTTCTAATTGATGAACGACAAGGACAATAAAATGAGGAGTTAGTGCAGGCGTGCTACTCTGAGGAGATTGCTAATTCGATACTAAAAGTTCCTTCAAGTCGTAATATATGTGAAGACTTTGTGGCTTGGGAAAACACCACAGAAGGTATGTTTACTGATCGGGTGATGCTAGCCAGTAGTGTCCAAACCGGTTAAGCTGTTCCAAAAACCTGCTAAACCGCTTCGCTGACTTCCTAATTTTGCGCTCAACGATTTGGTACATATCACTGGGAATAAGCATGGATCCTTTCTTTGTCTTCCTTGAAATTATTAAAAGTGGTAATTATTGATAAAAGAGATACATATATGTTTTGACTCTGTGGCAGGGGCGGAGGATCAATTCTGGCGTGGATATCCAGTGTGAATTGCAGGTCATGTGCGTCCATGTTTGTCGTTCACCATGGCTGACTCTGAGAGAAGCTCCTTCGGCTGGAGAAAGGACAGACTTGGGCTAAGTGAACCGTTATTATATTTGGGCCCAATGATGCGTGTTACCATGGCCCACTTGTGCCCATAGCCATCCTCACCACAAGCACATCCATGGGTGGTTTATCATTACCTATTACAATCTGCAATGTTTTACACGTTAATTTTGACACAAATATTTGGCATTTGTGTTTTACACGCTTTGGTAAATTGAATGACGATGCACTGGACATTCTTACCTTTCATATCTATATTACAAACTTCGCCATACCTTAGTTTTAATCCTTCCTCCGCCACTGCTCTGTGGTTATCTGTAGAAGATGAATGGGCCTATTTGGCGAAGCCCCCTGCCCCTAGGGCCTGGCGAGGCCTCAAGGCCAAGGTATAACCAACACGTCTATGGAGGTTTTGGATACAACTGGATGACAACCTTAGTGTCCACTTGTCAATGGATGCATTAAGGTATCATATATATATATAACAAATATAAACCTTGTTAGTAGTTAGTCTGATACTTTTTTTTTTAATCTTGACTCGGTGTTGTCAAAGGACTAGGTGTCAAAGATAAGTTTTTCCTAACCACATTATGTTTAATATATAACCTTTGTTTACCGGTATTCAAACACTCCCCTATTGACGTGATTGGGTAGGTTAGCTATTGAAGACAGCGACATGTTCTCTCCGAATGAATTAAGTAGAAGGATGCGTGCTTCATACTCCATATATAATCAGCTTGTCCTCCTCGGTATTCCGTTCTTATACTCCATCTTAGATGGTTTGTGACTTTCCATGGTCGACGACGGCGCTGGATGAACCAGTACGTCACTCTCATTTCTGCACTGAACTCAAACTTCCTGCCGGCCAAGAACTCTAAGATGGTGATCCCACCCATTGGTGCGTGAGCATCTGATCGATCCCGGCCTCTTGCTGGATAATTTATCAGGAACCGTGTCAATTTCCTTGCTGATATCGTTTTAATTTGTTCTATCTACTCTTTCAGCTATTGGCGCGATCATGTTGGTCGCGATCGTCGCCTTCTTGGGCGTGCTGTTCCTCTGCTGCGTGATGAACAGACGCGCCCAGTCGTGTGTCGGCGGCGTCGAGAGGGGCACGTCGCCGGCGCAGCGCTACGCGGTGGTGTCCGACCACCAGATCAGGCACGCGACCGTCGAGAAGTTCCTCTAGGAGATCAGGCACGAGAAGCCCTTTAGGTTCACGCTGCGGCAAGTCGCCGGCTTCACGCGTGGCAACTCCACCCGGCTCGGTGCTGGCGGCTTTGGCACGGTGTTCAAGGGCGCGCTCCCCAATGGCCTCGCCATGGCGGTCAAGGTCTTCCACGCCAGCCTCGACCAGAAGACCGAGGAGGCGCAGTTCATGGCAGAGGTGGGCACCATCGGTCGGACGCACCACGTCAACCTCGTCCGACTCTTCGGCTTCGGCTTCGACGATGCCCTGCGCACGCTCATGTACGAGTACATGGAGCATGGCGCGCTCGATGCCTTCCTCCTGGGCCGGGGTGGTGAGAACGTAGGCGTCGGCCTCCCGGCGCTGCGCGACATAGCCGTCGGCGTCGCGAGGGGGATTCGGTACCTGCACGAGGAGTGCCAGCAGAAGATCGTGCACTACGACATCAAGCCCGGGAACGTGCTCCTCGACGGCGAGCTGACGCCCAAGGTCGCCGACTTCGGGCTGGCGCGGCTGGTGAACCGCGCCGACACGCACGTGTCCGTGTCCTGCGTGCGCGGCACGCCCGGGTACGCCGCGCCGGAGATGTGGATGATGTCGGGCGTCACGGAGAAGTGCGACGTGTACAGCTTCGGCATGCTCCTGCTCGAGATCGTCGGCCGGCGGAGGAACTTCGACGAGGCGGCGCCCGAGAGCCAGCGGTGGTTCCCCATGCTGGCGTGGAACAAGTACGACAGAGGTGAGCTCGCGGAGCTCATCGTCGCGCCACCGAGACGTGGCACCACTCGTAGCGCGGCTGCTGCCGCGGCGGTGGCGGTGGGTGACGAGCTGGAGCGGCAGCAGTGCAAGGAGATGGTGGAGAGGATGTGCAAGGTGGCTTTCTGGTGCGTGCAGCAGCTGCCGGAGGCGAGGCCGCCGATGAGTGCGGTGACGAAGATGCTGGAGGGCGAGATGGATGTAGCCCCGCCGACGAACCCGTTCCCGCATCTGATGGCACCGCCGGTCGTGGCGAACCTGTGGACGACGACGATGACGAGTGGTGGCACTGGGAACAATGGGATCCTCTCGCCTTGACACTTAACCGCTGGGGCGACAGGAGGGGAGCCTAATTGCGCTTGGACTTACCACCTAGATCTTTCTTTCTTCACATCTGAAAAATCATGTTGGTGTGCCTTGTAGATGTATATATACAATATATCTGCATTACATCCAGTAGCTTGTTTTGAAACTGTCTTTAAGGCTTTGTTGTACCTTGTATAAAGAAAAAGGCCTTGTTATAATAGTACTTACATCACCCAGTTGAAGCATATGTAAATTATTTTGTTCAACTAGTCCATTAACTTGTTTTTTTTGTGGGATCCATTAACTTGTTTTTATTTCCAAGATCGCTAGCAGGACTTCTGCCAAGCAAATATTTAATAGAGGAGAACTACTCCATTAACTTGTGTTCCTACACGTCCATCTCTATTCCAAATTATAAATTTTTAGCATATTCTTTATGAATTTGGCATATTCTTGTGCCAATTCTTTCAACATGTGGCTTTATGGTAAGTTTGATACTCTAGGCTAGAAGTAAAAACACTTTTAGAAAACCTTCTGTTTGAATCAAAAGTTTGAAATCAAACAACCTTAAGGGAGTTTTTGAAAGGGAAACAGACAATCTTGATTTGAGAGGACCTAAAGAAGAGTGGACTGCAGATTTGACAGGGGCTCGTCGTGACGTAGAAAGGCCCACAATGCTTTTGTAATGGAGGTCCATTGTAGCTGGGTAGATCTGGCCCAAGGCTGGTCCTCCGGTTATCCCTTGCTAGGGTTAGCCCACTGGCTCTCCTATATAGAAGCGCGGCGAGAGCTCGCGCCGCCGCCGCTATCGCATCACAAGCCTCTCTTCCCCAGCCCCCTCCGAGAGGGCGAGAGCGAGAGGAGTCGCGCCGGCTAGAGCGCGAGGCAGCCGTCCCGCCGCGATGAGGGCCAAGGTGAGCTCCCGTCCCCTCTTATGAATCTCGTTGCGCCGCCCTCTCTTTTCGTACTACTTTAGTGGCCTTGCGCCGTGTGGTGTGATTCTCTGTGATGAGCAAACAGATGACGAGTCCGATCGAATCCATTCCATTACACCATGGGGACAACCGAGGCATTTGTCTGAGGGAACCCACCGCTCTTGATGTAGTGATGCTAGTATATATTTTGTTTCCTGTTGTAATGTCGTTCGGTTGTTTGTTTTGCCTTTTTTTGGTTGGCACGACGAGGAAAAAAAATACAAGTCTGATCTACTAGATGAGAAATTCCTCCTACTCATTGTGAATGCCAACGTTCCGTCGATCTATATCTACTGGTATTTTTGTTCTGGTGATTTAATGTTTCCCTAGTTTCCAATTGAACAGTTGTGCTGATTGTTAGAACAGTGCAGATAAATCGAGTTGCTAATGCAATCAAATCATCTCGTACTAATGTTGTATTTCATTGGACTTGAATAACCTTCAGATGGGGGCCGAACATCCGACCTTAACCGAATAAATAGAATATGTCGTGTTCTCTGTGATGATCAAACAGATGACGAGTCCGATTAATCCATTCCATTACACCATGAGGACAATCGAGGCATTTGTCTGAGAGAACACAACAATGTTGATCTAGTGTTGCCTATATTAATTGTTTGATTGTTCTCCCATTACGAGGAAACTAATAAGATTGTGTCTGATTCATTGGATGATAAGTTCCTCCTATTCATTTTGAATGCATTCCATGATTGTTTTGTTTATTAGGTCCACTACTGTTGAGCTAATTGTTGACCGTTGCAAATTAAATAACACTTAGTAATTGTTAATCAGTTGAGTTATGCTTTGTGCTCATTGGTAGCTTACCGTTATCGAAAAGGCTTGACGCAAACTGGTTGTGTACAGTTAAGACTCTTAACTCACTAACTGACTTAAGGTATAGACTTGACTAATGCAAATTGCAGCAAGGATTCTACTACTAACAAATACTCTTTGAAATAGTTTTCTTAAGTAGCATTGTGGCTAGTAGAATGTGACCAAAATATTGCATGTGATTTGTTGATGGTGCTATTGATGCTGCAAAGGCCTCATGGTCCCAAGCAAGGGGTTGAAACATTGATTTATATGTTGAATAATAGTAGGTGCCCTGGTGGGCAAGTTTGTTACATGTGATGGCCAAGGGGTCATGGGTGGACTGCACAAACAACATAATTGAGCTGTAGCATCACCAATGGCTTTGTTTGTGTTACTCTCAAATCTGTATTTGTTTTGTGGTATTGCACTGTTCTCTGTGATGAGACAACAAAGATGACGAGTCCGATCTAATCCATTCCATTAAACCATGGGGACAATTGAGGCATTTGTCTGAGAGAACTCTTGTTTTTTTATTGATTAGTTTCTGTTTTCTTGCCTTTTATATTGAATTGATTGGCATGATGAGGAAAGAAATACTGTGTCTGATCTAAGTGATGAGAAATACCCTCCTACTCATTCTGAATGCTGCAGTCACCTCCTTTTCCTTATGTTTTTGTTCTTTTTGTGATTTGACATGATCTGGCATTTTTCTGGGATGTAGTACTTTTGATTCATCATTCGGATAAAATGATCCAAGAAATTCCCAGTAATATACAGCTGTTGTAGATGTTGGCGTGTCCTTTTTCTTTTCTTGTTTTTTTTCCCTTGGCATCATTTAGATCTTTCAGTTTTTGAAATGCATCTTGCGGCTTTTCTGATACTGTCTTGTTTGTCTGATGTGCAGTGGAAGAAGAAGCGGATGAGACGGCTCAAGAGGAAGCGACGGAAGATGAGGCAGAGATCCAAGTAGGCAGATCCATGGAGTGTCCTGCTCGGAGTCTTTATGTTTGGTTGCTATGTACTGAATAATTCTAGTTTTCTTTAGTAACACAAATGCTGTAATGTATCTGAACTCTGAAGTCCTTGCAATGGGTGTCTGGCTGTGATCTGTAATGAAGAGCCTACCTTCATCTGAATATTATGGTTCCGGAACTTCTTTTTACATGGAACTAGTGTTTATATTCGTGTGTTGTCCTTTGGGATCCTTGAATCCTGGTGTTGCCTATTTTTTACCTGAAAATGTCGTCATGAATATAGTGCCTCTTTAGCTGATGCGAATGATTGTCAGATTCTGGATTTTGACATTGGTAACATTTCATCAATTATCAGAAGTCGTTTGTAAGCCGATCATATTGTCAAATTGTGTATTGAGATTGGTTGGTACCAAGATGAAACAAGTTAGGCTATGAGACACTTTTAGATCCATGGACTTACCAATTATAGCTAATCAAACCTGGCCCTTGAATGAATTGAGCTACACGTGGCCCTTCTATGAAAAGATTTGCCTGGAAATAGTAAGTTAATAGTACCGTATTGATTGCTTCGTGATAGGTTCACTGCCATATAAACCAACCGTACTGTTACATACAGTACACCGTAATTTCCAAATTAATTAACGGGAGATGAAAAAATCAACCCCGCTCATGGGGAGAGGAGATGAGAAAAAATTCGGAAACCTTTGTGCAAAAAAAAAAGAGAGAAATTTTTCCACGTAAAGTAAAATAAAATAAAGGAAAGGAAAAAAATAAATAAAGAGAGAAGGTAATTTCGGGCCCCAAACAAAACATAACATTGGAGGAAATAACGACCTCTGCAAAACCCCGACAACGCCGCAAATTCCTGCGCTGTTTCGAGCCCTTCCCCCCGCGCCGCCCCTCCTACCTCCCCTGTCTTCGTGGGGAAAGATTCAAATCCCCCACGGCAGCCACGGCGAGCGCCACCGCCACCGCCCCCGCCCCCGCCGCGCCGCAAAACCCTACCCTACCCAAGAAACCCCGCCGGCGGCGCGATGGACTGGTACTCCGACGACTCGGACCCGGACATCGACGAGGACCTGCGGGAGGACCTCGACGCGCTGCGCCGCTCCTGCATCCTCTCCGGGGCCGACCCGGACGCCGCCGTCGCGCAGGTCTCCTCCGGTCTCGCGGGCCCCTCCACCCCCGCCCTCGCCGCGGGGGCGCCGGGGGCGGCGGCGGCTAACCATCATCATGCCTCCTCTTCGGACGACGACGAGGAGGAGGACGAGGACCTCGCCCTCGTCCGCAGCATCCGCGCCAACCTCCACCACCTCAATAAGGCCTCGCCCGCCGCCCCCAGGGGCGACAACGACCCGTCCTCGCCGCGCCCGATCTGCACGTGGCCGCCGTCCGACACCGACGAGGAAGAGGATGACCTCGAGACGCTCCGCGCCATCCAGCGCCGCTTCTCGCATTACCAGTCGAGTGAGTTCTTCTTGCCCGCGTTCCGTTTCCATCATCCCTGCTGTCTGATTCGGAATTGAATTCTAACTAGCCCCTTCCTAGTCCTAGAGTAATTACTGCCAATTCACTGATGCTTTTTAATAAAAAAAATACCACTGAACTAATAGCTTTGATTTTGCTAGGTGGTGTATTCGCTGCTAGTGCTAGACTGACCGACATCTGAAACTATGAATGTCGCGAATTAGAGAGCTATAAATTTTGATCAAACGTGCAATGATCTTAACAGTATGGGTTGCTACAAACATGAACCCTGCCACCTGTGTTCTTTTCACGTTTCTAGAGATTTATTTATCTTCCTCTGATCTGTCATAGATGTCGAGGAATTAAAATAGATGACTAAGTACATATTCATGCACTCTGATTTAAAATACACAGTTAGCCTTTACGAATTTTGTGCAATTCATTCACGACTAGTGTAATGCACATGCTAACATGCAAGTTGATAATCATCATGAGCATTTCTATGTATGTTCCTTTGAAGCTGTTGGTATACTAGTAAGAAATTCATAATTCAGCACATGTTCTTCTGTAACTCAAGGTAAATGCGTGCACCACACACTTGATGAATGATCCTTAGTCTTTTGATTTACCTATTCTAGGTACCTCCACTGCGTCACCGAAGACCATGAAACCTGAGGCGTCACAGGGAGTCCACAGTGACCTTTTCACGGACCGATCTGATGATGATTTAGCTGAGCAGAAGCAAAATGCAAATGCTCCTCACCGAGATGGGTTTCCAAAGGCTGCGCTGTTGTTAGTGGATGCTCTCAAGAAGAACAGAGCATGCCAGAAGTTCATTAGAAGAAAAATGGTAAACATTGAAGCGAAAATTGAAGAAAATAAGGATCTCAGGGATCGTGTAAAATGTCTTTTGGGCTATCAGTTAAGCTGCCGAAAGTCAGTCGGCAGATCTTTAGGCCAGAAGGAGGATCGTCGTGTCAGGTTGATTTCCCCCCTGAAATCAACTCAGCCGTGTACAAAGGTACTGCCATCTGTATTTACACCTATGCGTTGGATGTTGCATGATACACATTATTCCCTCATATAGGATACATAAAACACTCAGACCTTCTATTGTTGTCCCTATCTCTATTCATTCTTCCGAATCTACCATGGGAAAATTAGTAATTAGCTTAGCCTAGAGAATTTGCCTACCTTTTGGTTTCTTTGCAACTATTGGTTGTAAATACCTTTACGAAAACCTTAGCAGCATCTCTTTATAGACATCCATGAGATATTATGATCTTCCCTGTTAGACAAAAAAATTGTAGCAGGTCAGCTAACTCAGTCGCAACAGTGTTTTTATATGAACCTAATGCTGTAGGTACTAAAAAAATATCGTCCTCTGGTTATTTTCATGTGTATCCCTGAAATGCCGCCGTGACGTTAGCACGGGCACTATACTAGTGTTGGCTAATTTTTTTGGGTTCAACTGTCATATAATATATTATTTACTTTGTTTTTTAATTTCATTTGCACCGCAACTTATCGTTATTTATCTGTTATTTACATGCCAATTTTTCTATGTGCAAGGTTATTTTTTTAGTATGTATTTGTTGTATATGCTATCAAAACTACTGTTTCCCTTTCGCGATGAACAGAATGATATAAATAATCCTTGAAACATGGAAGTTTTTGTTTCTATACTACATATTGTTACCCTCCTGTGGTGCAAGAATCATTGTATTCTAGTATGGCTCAGTTTAGTCTTCTAGTTTTGTTTGACACAATAAACCTTATGAAAGCGACATATATTTAGTGCAGAACAAATATAGGAAGATGCCTGCACTATTTCTTGGCCCAGCTGAGAACCCACATGTTTCAAAGTATGAAATGGTGCTGAAGCAATTCCCGATGTCATTTAAGAAGCAACCATGGTCAGATGCAGAGAAAGATAAACTTGCCAGAGGAATAAAGCAGCAATACCAAGAAACATTGATTTTGGACTCGCTGAATAATGGAAGGTAATTTCGAATTTCTCATGGATTTTACTCTGCAAACTATATGTTTGTTTATTTTTTGTTGATAACACTTCTCCTTTAATTCTTCAAGCATACCAAATCTCAGTAGAAAAAATTATGATGCTTCAGTGCAAGTTGATAGCCATCCTGTTTTTCAATGATGTAGCCTGTTATATTATTGTATTCTGTAATGGGTCTGACTGAGTAGATGTCAGTTAATGAACTGACAGTTTTGGCTCCTTCACTGTTTGGGGCTGAAGTATCCCATAAAAAGAACTAAGTTTGGTACAACCTTATGACTTTCAGTGCAACTTTAGTATTTTATTGTCTTTGTTTATAGCCTGCCCGTGCTTGTTTCGGACTGAAAGGCTTTGATGTTGTTGATTGCATTGCTTTTAACAGAATTGTTGTGCTGCAGTGCTGATGGTGACTTCAGTGCAGTTGATATGGCATATGCACTGACAAATGGTGCTGGTAATTTTGAGCTGACTCCGGAAAATCTTAGATCGGTTCAACCATTAATAAACTGGGATAAGATTTCTGCTATGTACCTGCCTGGTCGATCTGGTGCTGAATGTGAATCAAGGTACTTCTGTTCTCCATACTTTTTTTATTCGCCTACACAGCATGCTTTATGTCTCAGTCTTTCATATGATCATATCGCACTACGTTTGCTTATGATGTGATTTATGTAGTTTCTACAGCCTATTTTCATAAACGTGAAAAATGTTCATTATTAAAGAATTCTGATTGCATTTGATCAGGTGGCTAAACTGTGATGATCCATTGATTAACCATGAAGCCTGGACTGCGGACGAGGAAACAAGACTTCTACTAATTATTCAAGAAAAGGGAATGTGCAACTGGATTAACATTGCAGTTACACTGGCTACTCACCGGACTCCTTTCCAATGTCTTGTTCGATATCAACGAAGTCTGAATCCCCACATACTGAACAAGGTCTGGACAAAGGAGGAAGACCTTCAACTTCAAGCTGCTGTTGAGACCTTTGGTCAGAAATGGCAACTTGTATCAGCTAGTCTGGATGGTCGCACTGGCACTCAGTGCTCTAATAGGTAACATGTTATTCTCAGCTTGATTGGTAGAGCTACTTCCTGCTGGCTGCTGCTGTTTTGCTTAAGTTACTGTATGGTCTGCATTTGTGGCTGGCTGGTACTGTACAGCTGCAGCCTGCAGCACTGCAGCAGTAGCACAGACGATCAGGGCCTTGTTCCTTCTCTTTTAGTTGCCTTTTTTTTTCTGTTTGTTTCATGATATTGATATTGCTTTCGTTGATAAAGTTTATCTTTTGCTTTCCATTATCTGTCTTTTTCTAGTCTATATTTTTACATTTGTCTTTGCTAGGTGGAGGAAAACCTTGCACCCTGAAAGGACCAGTGTGGGAAGATGGCTTCTGGATGAGGACAAACGCCTCATGGTCACTGTTAAGCTAATTGGACCTGGCAGGTGGAGTTTGATTGCTCCGTTTATTCCTGGCCGAACACAAACGCAAATCTTCGAGAGGTAATGTAGTGGTTTGGATATATTAGCTCAAAGTTTACAGTTTGATGGTGATAGTAATGCTAGTTCTTTATTCTTTTAAAACAGGTGGTGCAATATTCTTGATCCAGATCTATATCTTGATGACTGGCGGCCTGAAGAAGATTCCTTGTTATTGGCTTCAGTATCTGAGTTTGGGCCTTGCTGGTCCAAGATTGCTAAGACGATAATTCCTGGACGTAATGATAGTATGTGCTATAGGTAAAACTTAGTTTCTTTTCTGCTTTAGCATGATGCCATCAATAATATGTTTTTGGAGAAGCTTCCTTGGTAATGGTTATTTCGTCTGAACTGCAGACGATGGAGAAAACTTTGTAAACATGAAGTCCAGAAAGTTAGAGAAGCCAGACAGTTGAAGAAAGCTATTTTTCAAACCAATTTTGTTGATAGAGAAAAAGAGCGGCCTGCAATTCGCCCTCATGACCTAATATCACTTTTACCCTCCAAAGGTGACGGATGTGATGAGGCCATTGTAAGGTATTGAAAATTTCTATCTAGTAGTTGTGTACTTATCTCATTATGATCTCTTTTCCATGTGTTCTCATTTGAATCCCAATTTATCGAAGTCATTTCAACCCCTCAGCTAATGATATATCGAAGTCATATGCATGCAAATCTGTATCTGAATACTGATATTAGTTACAGTATCACAGCGATCAAGCAGTAATTTTTCATACATTACAAAGCTTGACTTGTTTTTGCTCACAAGTTTGTCCCATATTTGATTTTGCAGGGGTAGATCTAAAAAGCAAGGCGAAGAGAACCTAGCTGTGTCCAATATTGTCGACATTTCAGCTGGTCTTGATTGTGTTGCTGCTAATACTGTTTTGCACACCAGCTCAAGGAGGTCAAGGAGAGTATCGTCAGGGTACATAACAAAATCTTGACTTTCAATTAATTACATAACAAAATCTTGACTTTCAATTAATTATATCTATCATTATGCTTGCTCACTATTTTGTGCCATACTTGCTTTTGCAGACGTAGATCAAAAAAGCATACTGAAGGGAATAGTATTGCTGTGCCTGATGATCTCAATGCTTCATCCAGCGCCCCTAGCTGTTCCAGGAAGAGGAAATCTATTACTGGCAACAATGTAGCTGCAAAAAAGAGATTGAGGGTAGCTATCAGTGTCAGTGCTGATAATGAGGTAGAGACAAATAGAATAACGGACTCTGTGGCTGTTGGTGAAGAGGGAGTACTCAAAAAGAGAACAAGGCGTTCAAAACCTGTTGGCCATGAGGGGGCTGTCAGAAAGAGAAGGGGATCTGATAATGAGTTAGGGACAAATAGAATAACGGAATCTGTGGCTGTTGGTGAAGATGGAGTAGTCAAAAAGAGAAGAAGGCGTTCGAAACCTGTTTGCAATGAGGGGGCTGATAATGAGGTAGGGGAAAATCAAATAACGGATTCTGTGGCTGCTGGTGAAGAGGGAGCAGTCAAAAAGAGAACAAGGCGTTCGAAACCTGTTGGCAATGAGGGTGCTGTCAGAAAGAGGGGCTCTGTCAATAGGGATGATGAGGCAGGAACAATTATAATGATGGATCCTGCCATTGGTGAAGAGGGAGTAGTCAAAAAGAGAACAAGGCGCTCAAAACCTGTTGGCAATGAAGGGCCTGACTCTATTGGTGGTGATGGTGTAGTAAAAAAGAGGACAGGTTCTGTCTCCACTGAAAATCATTGTGCTGTTACAAAAAGGAACAGTGCGTCATCAAGGTAGCACTTCAATGCAGTGGTTTCTCATAGACTCATGATTTGCATTGATCTCCATGTGGAGTTCATTAACACCAAGAGTGTCTTTTTTTTTGTCCTTTCAGGAGGAGGAAATCTGCTGTAGTTAATTTGTCAACTGAGGCTGTGCCGAATGCTGCCACTGACTTGGAACTTCCTTGTGCAACTTCTGAAGAAAGAGTTGTTGATGGTGGAAGTATGGATAAAGGGAGAAGAAAATCAACCCCAAGGTATTATGCTTTACCTTTGTCTTTTGTTTTTATCTTTTTTGGTGCATGTACATAACATTGAGGTGAAGGGTGTCAGTTGTTTCCTAATTTTTTTTCACCGTGTTATTTACAGACCCAAGCAGATAAACATGTCTGAAGGGGATGCTGATAAAAACTCCACATTCACACGACTTGCCAATTGCCTGTCGTTTGCCCGTATGAAAGGAATCAACAGGAACAAAAGATAATTGAAGTTGAGGTATAATGTCATCGAGAGTTGCTGCATTCGAAAGACCTTAATATATTTGTGATTTCTTTTGGAACCTGTTACTCCTTATGCTGCATTCGAAAGACCTTAATATATTTGTGATTTCTTTTGGAACCTGTTACTCCTTATGCTGCTGTACGGTACTGACATTTGCTTGCTTTTGTGGCTATAGAAACAAATGCTTTAAAAGGGTTTAGTTTCACCTGTGAAGATGACTTTGCCTGTGGAGATTACAGTCAGTACACGTGGAATGCCTGGAATGCCCAAAGGTAGTAAAATGTGATCTAGAAGTATCCAGGCTCAAGGGATGAGAAATATTCTTATTGTTCTCTTGTTCAGGATGGTGCTCAATAAGGTGTCATCAGGCACAGTGCCTTGTATGTGAGCAGCTCCACAGCAGATTCCCTTGCACAAGGTCTCTTTTAAAACTACTGGAGGACATCTATCATAATGAGCTTGTTTTGCCGATGCATCACTGTGCTGCCTCGCTCTTATGCAGGAATCTTTTTTAAACAGAACCAGGGTCATCTGGATGTCATCTGTTGGTGCCAAAACTGGCACACCATATACAGGTAGTAGTAACTTGTAAGTGCATGCAAAGCGTATCACATAAGCTTTGAATTGGACCCAATTGATATAAGTTCTCCCAAAATATTGTGGTCCTTTCTTTCTGGTGGCTTATTACTAAATAAAGGTCATTTCTATCTTAGATGGGAAACTAGAATTGTACGACTTGTCTCGTTGGAGACCCGGCTAGTCGTTTCCAGTTGGTGCTATAGGTACTGGGCATTTAACGCGTCGATGACTGTTGATTGATTCTGCATTACGTTTGTGCGATGATGAGCGTAGTTGTCGCCGGTAGCAATTCCTTAACTTGCAATCGCATCACACCTTTGGGACTAGCCAATAATGCCTAGGACAGTCTTTAACACATGAAACTGGTACAAGGCTATTGGTGTATGCCGACCGTTTGTGATTGTCACCCACATATAAAGCGAGTTTGAGTGTCGTGTGACTGCCTTTTCTGGGTAAATCCTCTGCTGCCATGTGCCATGTACGTCGTTCCAACTACCAAATCCTATTCTTGAAGTGACAGTTTCCTGGACATCTGACTGATAGATTCTTCTAATGATGCAACGAGTGATTGTTCAGTTTGTGTCTCAGCATGGCTCTCAGGTGCGTAGATTTCTGCGTCTGCTAACCTGACATTGTAATTGAAATTTACCTAGCTCGTGTAAAGACCAGCGAGTACACTGCAACTGTTCAATAACCTGACCACGTTAGCAAGTGATGCACTATCTGTAACAATCAATGAACCATCTCCAACAACATCGTACAATCGCATTTGGATAACATCTTGTTGGACCTTTTTTTATATTACATATAGCCTCATACAACGAATATGTCCATATTACGATATTACATTGATCACCTAAAGCCTGCGATAAATATGAATCCTGAAGAATCGAACGAATGACCATGAGCGCTATATATATAATATATATGAACTGACACCTGTGAGTGAGTGACTAAGAGCCCTCGAGAGGTCTCTAGTAATACTATGATCACCTAAGCTTCATCCATCCAGATTGCTTGCTAAGACGCAGCCAACCTCTTCACAAAATCATAGCCTGTGGTGGTTCGTATCCACTTCGGTGCGCCTTCTGCCATGTCCACGCGACCCTGAGGCTCTCATGGAGATCGGTGCGCTGTGCTGTCCAGTTCAGTTCCCTGTTGATCTTGGCAGGATCGCTGTAAACCTCCGCGTAGTCACCTGGTCTGCGAGGGAAGTAGTCAACCTTGATGTCGACTCCGGTTGCCTTCTTGCAGGCATCGACGAACTCCTTCACTGACCGACCTGGACAATGAAATGGAATCAAACTGTATCAGCTAACTGATAATGTGGTATTTTGTTTCTTCGGTTTTCATATTAGATATAAGAAGAGAGCATTGGTGTTCTGAGGATATATGACCTTTTCCAGTGCCAACATTGTATATACCAACTCTGCCTCTTTGCGCCTTGTTGAGTGCCTTCACATGGGCATCAACAAGGTCGGTAACATCAATGTAATCTCTTACACAAGTGCCGTCAGGTGTTTCATAATCAGTACCTTTAACCTGTAGTGGCAAGTACCATTAGTAAACTTATAAACTAAGGAACATCATATGTCAGCACTTGTATGGTAGCAAAAGAACCATTAAAGGATATGGCAGCAGAAGATTTAACTGCTTTCTGAAGCGGTAAATCAACGTACCTTTAAACCTGGAATGATTCCCAGTGCTGCGTCAAAGCATGCCCCCGATATACGGCCATGCTCACGCAATTCAGGTCTCGGAGCTTCACCCAGTCTGCCTTCTGGGTCAGAACCAATGACATTGAAGTATCTATAGCAGCGCAAGGTTACTCATTACATTAGTAATTCAGCGATTAAATGATGGTTTGAAAAGAGGGTATTTTTTCTCTTGGTGAATGATCCAACCTTAGAATCATGACAGCCATGTCTGATTTCTTCGACTTTGAGAAGTCTAAGATGATATCCTCTGCCATTTTCTTGGCCTTACCATACGGGTTGATTGGAAACTGCACAGCATAGTTTAGCACAGAACTTGAGAATGAAAAACGCTAAATTCTGCCCTCATTCTTGTTAATGCAAGCTAAAAAAGCGTCCAGCTTGTTTTAGAAAGAAGCTAAAATTTTCAGAAGCGGACTGGTGACCTGGGGAGTTTCTTCAGTGATGGGCATCTTCTCAGGCTCTCCATAGGTCGCACACGTGCTAGAGTAGATGAGAGTCTTCACATTGTGTGTAGCCATGGCTTCCAGCACCACTAGAGTGTTTGCGGTGATGTTATGATAGTACCTATTCAAAGCGTTCGAGTATTATGCGCAGGTAGGGTAATCAAATGATAGTCAGAGACAGAAGGGAAATACCAGTACCTCAGAGGTTCAAGCGTGCTCTCACCAACATAGGCCACAGCAGCGAAGTGCATAACAGCATCAAATGCATTTTCTGCAAATATTCTATTAACCTGAGGATATGTTATTAAGGAAATGAAACTACAAGAGTAATCTTTTTTCTTGTCATTCATATTTGATGCGTTTTAAACAGAATAAGAGCCTGCGGAGGCATTCGATTATTTGCACATAGAAAAAAAAAAGAAATGAATAAATCAGGATACAGCTTCCGGATCTCCTAAATCAGCCTTTATGAACTGCAACCGCCCAGGCTCTGGAAACAAGTTCTGGAGAACTTTGATCGCCCCAATATTTCCTCTGGAAAGATTGTCCTGGATACAACAAAGTCTGTAACTGTAAGCATGGATGCTAGATTTGAGCAAGAAATGGAAAACTCGGACAGGAACGGACGAACGGTGCTGGATTTCAGCAGGACATGGAGACGGTAAGTCCTGAGTGAGGAAGTATGTATGCTTACCACTATGGTGACTCTGAAGGAGTCCTTGAGCAGGCGAAGAGCGGCGTGCGAGCCGATGTAGCCAGCGCCGCCGGTGACAAGCACGTGCGTGACCCCAGGTTCATGGATGGAGAACTGCGCGCATTCACAAAGGGTGGGTGATTGAGGGACTTGCGGTGTCACAAATCGGTGAAATCCAACAGATTGTACTCGATCTACTTGTTTGATGTTTCACTAGCACTTGGGTTTGGCTCATGTTTCCATATCGGTGAATGCTCTTGTGAACAAAAGGATATGCTGTGGATCCAAGTAACTACACCGGTAGGAGTAGAGGAGATGATGCTAGGTAGGTAGAAACAGTGGAAGAGAAGGTGTTACCAACCAGGGTGGGGGTGGGTGTCGGCCTCCCGTGGCAGGGTGGCTGGGTGAGCATGACGACGCACATGGCGGCGAGGAGCGCGAGCATGACGACCTTGCTCAGGCACCGCGGCTTGCGCTTCGGGTCCGACGACAGGTCCATGATTTCTGCAGGGACAGCAGGGAGAATGAAGTTAAGTTTTATGTTTTGTTTTGTTTTTTTTCGTTTTCGAATTGCAGAAGCTACGTCCTAGGGCACGCCGGCGGCAAGAGGAAGACGACGGCAGAGCACAATTGCATTGCAGCAAGAGATCGAAGGAAGCGGAGATGGGGAAAAAAGAGAGAAAAGCACAGCGCAGGAGCTGACCTGATAAGGCGGAGCAGGATGATCTGGCGGCGGGCCTCTGCGGCGGCCTGCTGCCGCGGCAGGCGGGCAGCATCGGCGCCGGGCGACCGGAGACTCCGACTCCGAGAATTGGATTGGTGCACCTGCACGGCGGCCGGCCGGGTCAGGTAGGATAGAAGGCGGCGGCGCCGCGCCCCGCCCGGCGCTCCTCTGCTCGGCTGGGCTCGGCGCGGGTGCAGAGGCAGAGCCGCAGAGGTGCAGTTTGGACTGAGACAGATCCAGGCCCAGCGCCAGCAGAGGAAAGCGGAAGCGGAGCAGCCGGGCTGGCCCCGCCGTGAGAGTGGAATCGGGGGACGGGGACGGGGACACGCGGGAGCGGACAAGCAAAAGGAGGTGGCCGTGCTGGTGCTGATGCTGGTGCCCCGTGCCCTCTCGCTGGGGACTGACTGGACTGGGAGGTGCCGTTGGAGGCGGCTACCTGCCTGGCCAGCTGAGTTCGTTCGTCAGTGGTCATTCACTGCGCGTCCGTGTCGTCATGGTCTCCCTGTGAATCTGTCTGTCGGTCGGCTCGTGCTTTTCCAAAGTCCAGACTCCTCCAATGGGGAGGGGAGATGGACCTCACAGGTCACAGGTGGTGCGTTGGTGGCTTTGCTTGGTGCGGTCGGCACAAGCCACCCACTGGGGCGATGGCTGCTGGCACTCGGTCGAGGTCGCCGTCGCACGTCGTGGCGGTCGTCGGCGGTTAATGCTTTGGTTCGGTAGCCGACGAGGCAACGGCGTGCCCGCGGGCTGTCCCTGTCCCGGACGCGTGTCCTCGTCTTGCCTTCTCTCTCTCCACCCAAGCCTCCCCACGCTAGTGCACTAGTACACCTGGCAGATAGATGTGTTGGTACTTCTTGTTATTTGTACATAAAAAAAAGCTACCAACGCATCATGGCCAGGTAGGAATTTTCAGCGTTCAGTAAACCCGATAGATTCGGAAGGATCGGGCAGCTCCACTACTCCGAAATACGGGTATTACCAACTGATACCTGATTTTAAGTAAAAAAAACCTGACACCTGATTTTCGCCTCAAGAAAACGCTACCCGATAATTCCGGTTCAGTATACCCATTGTACTCAGATATGATAAAACCAGCAAACTGGAATCAATCACATAACTAGTAATATGTTTTTTTTTTATTTTTTTAAAAGGACGGCAAAAGCTTTGCCGTGATTTCTATTAGACAAAAGAAAAAAAGGCAAATGACCGCATAGTTTTTTGAGCGAAAACTGGATCCAAAAACCATACAACGCATGAGAGTGCTCCACTCATTCTAGCAACTTTGGTACAACAACTGGCCAGCTATCACAGCTCACACCACTTCTTTATCCAACTTGGTCAAAACGATCCAACTAAACAACTCAACTATCAACTAACAAGGACCGAAGAAGATGACGTCCTGCCGAGCGACACCAAACAACAAGGATCAACCGCGAAACAGGAATGCCTAGTAATGCCCCGAAGGAGGAAACGACACTAAAAGCGCCAACAAGGTAGCCCGCCAAGGAAGGTTTTTACCTGCAACATCCAGTACGGTAGGAGAAGAGGTAGGAAAGGACGCCTTCAAGAAGGGAACGACGTCCGCAGACGTTGTCGTCCATGCTTTCGCCCCCACCTCAAACCACCTCCACACCATCGTCGCCAGAGGTCCAACCCTACTAGGAGGCAGGGTGCGGCGATGGTTTAGCAACAGCCCCGCCTAGACACCGCCCCTAGGGACGCCGACCAGGAGAAGCGTCAGGGGAACCAGCCGGAGAGTCCGCTCCCCGTCGCAACTGGCAACGCCGGCCAGCTCCACCATGAAAGCCAGCTCAGGGAAGGGGAAAGGCGGATGGCTGGGAAAAGAGGGTTGGGATCAGAAGAAGCCCCAGTCGCCCAGCATACCAACGTCCCCACAACAACCACGCCGCGCAACACCTCCAGCAGCCTCTGCGCCGAACTGTCGCCGTCACGTCAGCTCCCCAGCCTCCGTGGATCTCGGTCAAACCACATCACTGGCATAGGGCGAGGAAGACGCAGGATGTCGCACTGGGAACGCCAAGCACCAAAGCCTGCAGCCCCAGCCACCGTCGCCGTTCCCATCACCCAGGTTGGAGCCGCCACAGTGGACGCATGGGATCCCCGCTGGATCCGTCAAAGAACCATCGGATCTAGCCTGCAGGCCACCGGATCCGGCCCCAAGCCGCCAGATCGAGAGGGGAGGAGGCCGGAGCCGGACCTTCTGGAGCCGGGCACCGAAGGGTCGACGGAGGTCGCCTACGCCGGATGGGGAGGCAAATCCGACCGTGGGGAAGTGTCGGTGTTTCGAGTTACCAACTTGTAAATTTGTATTTGCACGTTTGGCTCGGATGGTGTGCTTAGAGGACACGAGATTTATACTGGTTTGGGCAGAAGGTCCCTACGTCCAGTTCGTTGCTGCTGCTCGTGTTACTTAGCACTGAAAGTTTGTAGTAGGGGGGTTACAAACGAGCGAGAGAGGGTCAGGTCCCAAGTCTCCGATGTGCGTGTGCTCCTAAGGCATGTTAGGGCATGTGTTTTGATGTCTATAGCCATGTAGAGTGGTCAACTATCCTCCTCCTGTGACGTCCTGCTTCCCCTTTTATAGACGAAGGGGAAGAGCAGGTTACACAGAGAGAAAGAGGGAGAAGAGCCAAGGAGAGGAAGACTTTCAGGACCACCGGGCCTTTCTTTTCCTTTATGTAGGTCCCACCGACATTGTAGATGGTGACAGGGACGACTCCACGTCGGGCGCCTGTTCGTCGCTGATGCCACGCCCCGGTGTTGTTAGCGGGTCTTGATGTCCCATTCCATCCCGGCGGGCGACGCGGGGAACCAGCGTGCTGGTCAGTGGCCGTACAGGAAGTAGGAAGCATAGTGACCACTCGTCCATCACTTTTTGTGATGTGAGTTCCCTGGATTGACATGTCGCAGGCATGGGTCATGTCGAGATGTGCCCGCTCCCTGTACGATGCTAGACGTTTGACCTTGGGTTGTACTTTCTACCACGTAGTGGTTGGCGGCAGTACGGGCTTTTGTCAGGAGCTACGCCTGAGGGGTCGGACGAGATGGAGCCCCCGACCCAGAGGCCGAGAGAGGCGGGGCCCCTGACCCAGAGGTTGGGCGAGACAGAGCCCATGTCCTTGGGGTCGGGCGACATAGAGCCCGCACCCGAGGGGCCAGGCGAGATGGAGCCCGCGTTCTTGGGGTCGAGCGAGACGAAGCCCGCACCCGAGGGATCGGGCGAGGCGGAAACCGTGTCCTTAGGGTCGGGCGAGGCAGAGCCCGCGGCCTTGGGATCAAGCGAGACAGAGCCCGCACCCAGGGTCGGGCGAGGCGCAGCCCGCCCCCAGAGGTCGACGAGGCGGAGCCCGCGCACCTAGGGGTCGGTTGGAGGTGTAGTCATGCTCTTGACTACTCGGATGAATCAATGTTGATGACCATTAGCTCCTCCTCTTCGGGTACCCTACCATTGGTCCCCGATAGTAGCCCCCGAGCCTGCGGAGGAGTAGAATACTCTTTCGGAGGCTTTTTCGAACAGGAGGACTCTGAGGGCCTCGGCCTTCTTTTGCCGCCCACGGCGTGTCCTAGGGACGGCGATTCCCTTTTGTCATAATTGGACCCCTCGGGGGTATAGCCGTGAGATTTGGTGGGTCAGAAAAGATCTTTCCTGATTCCGACCCCTACGGGGGTCTGTCGTTCTGTGACCGTGTGTTCAGTCTCCTTGCGAGTCCAACTTTCCTTGAGCCCCCACCCGTAGCAGGGGTTTGGTCGAGGGTCGGCTCGTCTTCCCTCAAGCATTTTTTCCAATAAAAACGGAGGGGCTGAGCCGTGCCATGATTTTCCTCTATGGACAAATCATGGTGCACGGAGAGCTGTTAATGGGCTAGTTCGAGTAGGGCCCTGGCATCCTGTTCACATGGGTCTAGCTTGGGTTAGCTAGTGATCGACTCCAGATTCTCAGTGGTCCATCCATATAGTTCTCGGGTCCGTTCGACCGATCCCGAGGGCTCTCTACCTTTCTTTGAGGAAAAACCATGGATCGTATCTGGCCAAGACTCAAATGTGGGCCAGGATGCCCGTGACGCTCGTACACCTGGGTACTAGCTGCTAGTGGGCCCATCCTTTTCCACCCCTCACTCTAAAGGTGTCTGGAGCGGTTGTCCAACCCATCGGTAGGCCAACCTTCGAACTCCTAGTCCTAGACGGGTCGTAGGAGCGTTTTCAGCTCCGTATCCCTCTTACCTATGACGGGTCGTGGCCTGTTCGGGGAGGCGAAACGTCCAGTACGTTTTCTGAGGGGACGGCCATAGGTTGCGTGCGCACGCCCCGTGACAAGTTTCAACCCTTGTGTTTCGTTTAAACAAGCTCGTTATTTCATTTGAACAAATTTGTTCTTTCTCCCTTTTTATGTGTAAAAAGGGGTTAATGTGTTCCGACCCTTTCTGTTGTTAAGGCTGTAAAGCTTGGGGTGCGGGTGAACAAACTCTGATCACGCTGGTGAGAAACGCAGTAGCCGCTGGGGCGTAGGTTTCTTGCAGTCCGACCAGTTTTACTCAGCGTTTGTTTCCACAACCCTCGCTTCTGGGTCTTAACGTGAGAAAGGGTCGGGCACGGTGACTGTTTTGGAAAGGGTCGGGCACGGGTCGTTGCCGGGGTTGGGTTTCACTAAAGATCGAGGAGGCGATAATGAAACTAGTAGGAGAAAGTGTCTCTTGTTTTAGAAACATTATTCTTAGTTTTCGTACGTATCCCCTCCCTAAGATCCGAGTCATTGTTCTACGACCGCGCATTCGGTCTCCTTGCAAGTTAAACTTTCCTCGAGCCCCCACGCGTAGCAGGGGTCTGGTCGAGGGTCGGCTCGTCTTTGTGATCATCACCCCATCTGCGGTTCCACAACCGGAGGGTTTGAGCTAACATCACTTGCCTCGGTGGCTCGAGTGACGCGCTTGGTGAGGTTGCTAACGGGTATGTTCGAGTGGAATCCGGGTCCATCGTTCATGATGGGGTCGGCATAACCCTCATGTGGCATTCCACTGCTCCTTAACCCGCCTC